ACACAAGTACCACAAAGTATAATATTAGGTTGGCAAGAAAGTCCTGCGACACTCTTTCTAAAATTTTCTTTTTTTCTGAACAATCCATAGGTAACATTTATGACTAACAAATGGTAGAGCATTCTCGAGGCTTCAATCCACGAGGTGGATATAAGTGCTGCAGTAAGTAGTTATCCAAGAAAATTTGAAAAACCTCGACCACTAGTAAATCCCACACTCCGAGTCACTGTCTAGTACAAATGTCTACATAACTATGGATTCGTGTCAAAGACCAACACTATCTGCAATAGCTTCAATAGGCATGCCGTTCACCGCTACAGCGTGTTTCACCTTTACCAGCGCTTCCGATCTTTTGATATTTTTATAAGAAGCCAGCAGCGTCCCTCTACACTCCATTACAGGTAGGGCTCTTACAGAAGCTCCACTACATATCCTTCGTTATGGGCACCATTGTGTAGGCAGAGGCCTAGGCTGTGGAATACCAGAAGCTGGCCGAGGTAGCTCGTCAAGAGCCCTCGTACCGCGACAATATTCATTTCTTTCATGACATTGCGAATCACCATGATCCGAAATGAGCCCGGTAAGAAATTCTGGAGTTGCGGCAAGATTTCTTACCTCTCTTAGCGTATTCCCCTGGTCGAGCTGTAAATGACTGCCACCTATCCTGGACCTTAATCATCATCTTGATGACGAAATAATTAGACGATCAACTCCAACTCGGAAGTGAGGTCGCCTCCTTTCTTGACCCGCACTCCGCTGGGTTTTGGAAAAGGCGCATCAGGAAATTTTCTGAGCGTTGAAGACAAGTGGTGGACACTCATGATAGATATGACCGGTCAGGAGTTGTAAACAAAAAAGATAGAATTAAAATCAAAAAATTGAAAAAGTGTCGCAGGACTTTCTTGCCAACCTAATATAGGTAGTCCATCTTTTTTAGAAAAGCTCAAGCAATCCTGATAATATTATGCTGAGCGATGTTTCGATTTTGATATACAAAATTTTTTGAAATACCTCATAATACTGGTGCGGTAAAGATGGTCGACAACACGTCCTAAATGGGCGGAGCTTGTTTGAACAACTCGTCCGCTTCTGTGCCACACAGCTCTTGTGGTGGCGCTGACCACACAATAGTTATCAGCTCTTACTACGTGATGTTTCAGAAATCGTTTTGTTTAGATAAGCATAATTGTGATGGCCATAAATGCATGGGTAAGAATGGACATGTTGGGTGCCGTGATATGCATTTGGATAGGAATATTCGTTCTGAGTAAAAGGTAATGCAATTTCATTATAGACTAAGATTGCAGATAAAAAGAATTCGAATGGCTCAATCGATTTTTGCAGGTCTGTTTGCCGGAAACTCTGGTACCTCTTCGTAATCTATATGGGAATACTGTTTCCGTTGCAATACGTTGTATATGTTGGATTACCGGAGGATACCTGTTTTGGTCAGTGATTCTTTTGAAAAAATTTTCTTGAACTTTCTGCTTATTCAAAAATATTGCTCTGATTCTTTTAGCCTACCCATGGGATCATCTCTTTGGTGAGCCGAGTACCTTGACGAAAAACGTGAACTTTGACATCTGGTTTGGCTTGTCCAACTATGCTATCAACTGGCCAGCAGAGAATCTTATTGCGGACTTTATTCTGCTTCTGGTGGCCTCTTGTCAGGTGAGACCGCCTGCATCTTTCCTCACTATTTATTAGATTATTTGGTACGGAGATGTCTAGTAAATTCATTTTTTTTTGAACAAAGGCGGTCAAAGGGTATGCTTTCATGAGTCAGCCCTTTGAAATGTCGCATTACGCGAATTCCTTTCGGCCACAGAACCATTGGAATACGTATTTCCTTAACACATGACATGTGTGGCCAGCCATGATCCTTCTCAAAGATTTTACCCTTCCAAAAAATATGTTCTATATAATAAGCCCGCATGTTTGGAAGGTGTGATTGTTATGAGTAATCAAATTGCAGCGCTTAGCTTTTATTGCCACTGCACTAGTCATGCTTTGTTTCCTGCATTATTTCTTGGAGAACTTTCAGACAGGGTGTGGGACCTCAAGCAGCTGCCTTTTGG